CCCAGATGGGCAGAGCTCCAGGCTGGCGGTGTGGGCGGTGTGGGCGGGAGGCAGGCATGACCAAGCTGGCCCAGGCATGGACGGACAAAGCAGGGAGGCACAGCCCGCTGTCCCAACCACTGTGGGCCCTGTGTCGAGTGTGCCCAGGGCCCTGGTGACACTGGCAGCTGGTATCACTGCACCCACTTCTGATGGGCAGGCCCTGTCCTCCGCCTCACCCGGGCGCCTGCCCTCGGGGCATTTACTGGGCCAGGCACCCGGGACTGGCTAGCACTTGGCCATGATCAGCCCCTGCGCCTGGTCGCGCTCCCTCCAGGTATCCCCCGGCCTCGGCAAGGCCTGCCCTGGCCCCCTCATTTACAATGGAGACTCACGCTTCACCGTCCTAACCCCCTACCAGCTCTGAGGTTTCTTCCTGTAGTCTTGTCTCCTGCCTGCATTTCTTTCCCTTGCAACAAGTCCCCAGGTCAGGCCCCACTGCTCCTGCGCACAGGTCCCTGTAACCACCTTGGTCTGCTGAGCAAGGTTCTCTAAGGGAAAAGAAACTAAATGGCAATGCTTTAGCAACATGAAGTGGCTTTTCCCTCCCACGGAGCCGGGTCCAGATTGGAGTCTTACAGGGAACTAAGTGCACAGAACTCTTCCTTTGGGACGGCCCTCTCGGAGCAGAGGGGACAGCGTCCTGAGGTGCCCCACACCCGTCGGAAGTAGTAGCGACAGAGGTGCCCGGTGCCCAGCTCCTTCCGCAGAATGTGAGCTGGAGCTTCCTGCTCGCAGCTGGGAGAGACGCCATCCGCCATCCGGGAGGCAGCCCGCACAGCTGCCCTCCCACGTGGAACTGCTCAGTGTTTTCCCGTAGTTTTTGCTACAGGGCATGTGAGCTCGCAGGACAGAACACAGCGGAGACAGGGAGAGTAAGAAAGCATCCCCAGAGAGGTGACCACACCGCAGTCCCTTCTCCATTCTCCTCGGGATTTGAGGCACGCATGTATACCCGGGGTGTTTTTCAAGCTGCCGGGTCCAGGACTCAGACTGTCGTCAGCCTGTGGGATCCGGTCACCTTAACTTCCACACCATTTGCTGGCCCTTGGCTCCTATTTCAAATGGCCATGGAGTGAGGTCAGTTTGGGGGTCACAGACTTTGGGCTGGGTTTTAGGAGGGCTTGGAACCAGGGCTGACCTCTTCAGGCCCTGGCTATGACAGAGCTCACGGCCCCAGAGGGGGAGGCAGAGGGACTGGCAGACCGCTGGAGGGCAGGAGGGGAGGAGAGACCCTCCTGAAGTGCTGAGGCAGCTCAGAGGCTGGGCAGGAAGTGGGGGTGAGAGGCGTGAAAGCTAAAAAGCAGGGCCACGCGGAAGCACAGGCGGGCACACCACGGCGGGGGAAGGAGCTTTCCAGGGCTGGACTGAACCCAGCTGCATTTCCCACAGGACCGCGGACAGCGCCCGTCAGTCCTGTAGGTGTCAGAGCATGTCCAGAAAGCCTCGAGTCAGCCTAGTGTCCTGCCGGGCTGCTTGATCATCACCACCACCGTCACCATCACCACCATCTTCTCCATCCTCGCCACCACCAGCACTGTCCCCATCACCGCATCACTGTCCCCATCATCACATCGCTGTCCCCATCACCGCCATCACCGTCCCCATCATCACATCGCTGTCCCCATCACCGCCATCACCGTCCCCATCATCACATCGCTGTCCCCATCACCGCCATCACCGTCCCCATCATCACATCGCTGTCCCCATCACCGCCATCACCGTCCCCATCATCACATCGCTGTCCCCATCACCGCCATCACCGTCCCCATCATCACATCGCTGTCCCCATCACCGCCATCACCGTCCCCATCATCACATCGCTGTCCCCATCACCGCCATCACCGTCCCCATCATCACATCGCTGTCCCCATCACCGCCATCACCGTCCCCATCATCACATCGCTGTCCCCATCACCGCCATCACCGTCCCCATCATCACATCGCTGTCCCCATCACCGCCATCACCGTCCCCATCATCACATCGCTGTCCCCATCACCGCCATCACCGTCCCCATCATCACATCGCTGTCCCCATCACCGCCATCACCGTCCCCATCATCACATCGCTGTCCCCATCACCGCCATCACCGTCCCCATCATCACATCGCTGTCCCCATCACCGCCATCACCGTCCCCATCATCACATCGCTGTCCCCATCACCGCCATCACCGTCCCCATCATCACATCGCTGTCCCCATCACCGCCATCACCGTCCCCATCATCACATCGCTGTCCCCATCACCGCCATCACCGTCCCCATCATCACATCGCTGTCCCCATCACCGCCATCACCGTCCCCATCATCACATCGCTGTCCCCATCACCGCCATCACCGTCCCCATCATCACATCGCTGTCCCCATCACCGCCATCACCGTCCCCATCATCACATCGCTGTCCCCATCACCGCCATCACCGTCCCCATCATCACATCGCTGTCCCCATCACCGCCATCACCGTCCCCATCATCACATCGCTGTCCCCATCACCGCCATCACCGTCCCCATCATCACATCGCTGTCCCCATCACCGCCATCACCGTCCCCATCATCACATCGCTGTCCCCATCACCGCCATCACCGTCCCCATCATCACATCGCTGTCCCCATCACCGCCATCACCGTCCCCATCATCACATCGCTGTCCCCATCACCGCCATCACCGTCCCCATCATCACATCGCTGTCCCCATCACCGCCATCACCGTCCCCATCATCACATCGCTGTCCCCATCACCGCCATCACCGTCCCCATCATCACATCGCTGTCCCCATCACCGCCATCACCGTCCCCATCATCACATCGCTGTCCCCATCACCGCCATCACCGTCCCCATCATCACATCGCTGTCCCCATCACCGCCATCACCGTCCCCATCATCACATCGCTGTCCCCATCACCGCCATCACCGTCCCCATCATCACATCGCTGTCCCCATCACCACATCACTGTCCCCATCACTGTCCCCATCACCACCGTCCTCTCCGTCACCACCGTCACTGTCACCGTCACCATCATCCGTCCTCGTCACCGCCATCTGCTCCGTCACCGTCGATCTGTGTCAGCTGCACTGTCCCTTCCAGGTTGGAGTCACCTCTCATTCACCTCTCAGTAACCGTGTGCATTAGGGAGTAGCGCCCTCATTCTACGGATGCAGCAGTGGAGGCCTGAGTGGTGGGGTGCCCTTGCACGGGGTCCCAGGCAGCTAAAAGCAGAGCCAGAAGGAAAACTCCCCAGCTCCAGGGTACCCACTCCTTCCTGCATGAGGGCGGGCAGGCCCAGCTCACGGCTGACCCACCCAGTCAGTGATGTTCGACTGGGACGCCAGCCCCAGGCCCCAGTCCTCTTCAGAGGTGCCCCCTCTGTGTTCCTGAGGGAGTGGATCCAATATCGAAAGGCGCTCACTCACCCAGCTCTGAGATTCTTTGGGCCCAACCCGGTTTCAAACCTACTGGAGGAAAAGTGTGTCCTCGGTGACCTCATTTCTGCCTGAGTGATAAAGATCATGTAGTCAAGGGTTTCCTGAAGACGGTCCGGGTGACCCTGGTCCTGCCAACTGTTCTGTGTCAACATGGTTCCGGGTCCGAGCTGGGGAACCCGGCACTGCAGTCTCTTCTCGGTACGGCGGAGCCCAATAGCACACAGAAGACACACAAATATGCACTTAATGTTTGACCCAAATTTCCAAAGCCTACCCGACCATGCCACTATTTTTTCTTTCACGAGAGGGCCGTCTGCTCGTCAGAGACACACAGAGACAGAGGGGGGAAGCACTCCCCAGCCAGGGTGGCCATGCTGCAGTCCCTGCTCCTCCGTTCTCCTCTCGGGATTTTAGCCATACACACACGTGTGCCCACTGTGTTTTTCCTCCTCCCTTCCTTCCTTTTTCCCTTTTTCTCTTTTTTTTTTAAGGCTTTTGCCATAGGGCAGGTGCTCTTACCAGAGAGAGACAGTGGGAGGGAAAAGAGAAATCACCCCCTGGGGGCAGGGCCCTGTCACAGCCCCTTCTCCCCCCACTATCTCAGGACTTTGGGGCACGCGTGCACAGCGTGATGCGTTCAGTGTGATTTTCAAGCCGTCGAGTCCAGGACTTGAACTGCAGCTGGCTATTTGGGAGTCCAGAACCTTAACCTTCATCCTGCCTGCTCTGCCCCCCGCCCCTTCCCAGAGTGTTTTTCAAGCCACTGGGCCTGGACTTAAACTGCGCAGTCGGCCAGCTATGGAATGAGTATTAACAAGTATAAAACGTAGCACCTACGAACGCTCCGCTCCGTGAGAGCAGGGTTTCATAAACCTGCCTCGAAACACGGGTCTAATTCCGATCTTTCTTTTCATAGCAGAAAAGTAGGAAGTCCGTGTGGCAATTCACGGAGCATTCACTGCAGGCAAACTGAGGTCCCCCCAAATGTCTGGGCCTGTGCCGGCGTGTGAGATGAGCAGAAATGTGGCGACAGCTCACTGTCACACAGCACTTGTCGTCCGGGCTCTGTGGTCTCCGGGGTCCGGTTCACACCCACCTCAGAGACAAGGAGACGGAGGCAGAGAGAGCTGCGTTGCCGAGGTCAGCGTATAAGCCCAGCGCCACCTCGCTGTGTTGCCAGAGAGAGCGAGCGAGGAGACGCACCCCCCCAAGGCCGTGTGGTCCACCACAACCCTGTTCTCCGTCCTGCCAAGATCTTGGGCACTCACGCACACCTGTCCTGTGTGTTTTAAGCCGTCATGGCTGGGATTCAAACTGCGGTCAGCCATGTAGGATCCGAGTCTCACCGCCAGGTCACAGGGCCTCACCTCCGGACACGATGTGTTTGCTCTTCTCCTTCTTCACGGTGGCCTCTGGAGTTTGGGGGAGTCACTGTGACACGCAGAGCCCCGCAGAGCCTGGGGGAGGGATGCTGGACGGGGGCAGCTCGGGAGCGGGGCTGTGGCTGGGATCTGAGCGCCCTGTGCTTTGTCCCGCAGGTCTAACTGGCTGAAGCCCTGCTGCGGGAAGGGAGCGGCTGTGTGGCAGGTATTTTTGCTCAGTGCGAGTCTCAACAGTTTCCTGGTAGCCTGTGTAATATTGGTGGCGATCCTCCTGACCCTGGAACTGCTAATAGATATAAAGCTTCTCCAGTGTGAGTAGCCAGAGAGCTCCGTATCGAATTCGTATGATGTCGATATTCAATGTGCGCTGCAGCTATCAGGGGTCCCCAACCAGCAGCCCGATGCCGCTGCCCGGCCACTGGCCCGTGGCTCGTGGGGTGACTGCGGGAGGAAAGCCGCCTGGCAGCCTCTCTCTCGTCGCCCCCATCGGTTTGCCCCCTGCAGCCCATGGCGGCCGCTCAGTCTCCACTCCTCCGGCACTCTGTGATCAGAAACCGATGAGATTTAAAACCAAAAACACGTTGGGGACCCCTGTATGCATTTTTTTTTTGAATGTGCCCATTTGGAATTTTCCAGGTTGAACTTTTTTCTGTAGCTAAAGAGGGTTCCCATGTACAGAAGCAGGGCTCCTCGTAGCTGCTAAGCATGACGGCCACCGCCAACCATAGAGGCAGGCCCTGTGTTCTCACCCGGCCGCCAGTAACGGCTGGGGTGTCATGTCCCGGGGG